GGGGAAAAAGGGAAAAAAAGACAAAAAAAAAAAAAAAAAAAAAAAAAAAAAAAAAAGCCAAGCCAGTGTCAGGAGCTGCAGTGGCAGGGAAGTGAAAGTGGATATATATTGTGGCAGATGGAGGCAGAATATGAGATAGGAGCCTGAGGAAAAAGAAAGGTAACTAGGGAATTAACCTGCTTTTTCATCATCTAGTGCTACATCTGATAACAGACCAGTTAACATGCTGGAAAACAGTCTCAGTGTGACTCATGAGCGCAACTGTTGGTAGACATCTGCTCTACAAACACATTGAGTAGCATGTCTCTTGTCTTGTTCACTTTCGCTGTTGTTTAGCCTTGATTCACTTCCCCAGTGGCTCATTCTAGCCAACAATCCATCCACTTACTGCACAGTTTTGCACACAGAATGGGTAAGTGACCAGTGAGCCAACCTTGGAAAAAAAAAGACCACCTATCTTGTTACAGCTGACATTCTCTGCATCATCTTTAAGTTCACTTATTTCTGTCTGTGTATCCAGAAGAAATTTTTGGTTGTAAGGAGTTACCAGCTACCTGGCCAAGTGGTTACAATTATACATTAGACTTCCTCACAGCCCCCCACTATTTTCATTTTATTACCTCTGCATAGTGAAAAATTGCTGTTTGAATGTTGTTTTTATAGTAGTGATGCTGAAGTTTTGTAACATGACCTTATAGTATAGTACAGCAACATTGCAATTATAAAATATTTTCCTTTAAATATTTTTCATGCGCTTGTTTTTCCCCCCAAAAACTAGCAGCACTTACATACATTCAGTTTTAAAGCATGAAATTCTTGGGTTCTAGAAAATTCATCTCTAGCAACTTACTTTCACTGGCTGAATAGTCCTGTGGATCGAGTATCCCTGATTCCTGCAGTGATCTAATACAGGAGTCCACCAGCTCCAGACCAGTAGTGAGCTCATCTTCTATATCCTTCTGACCATCTGTAATTAAATTAACAACATAAAAACATAAAAGAAAGGCAAAATGGTTAAGCTATATACAAGACAAAAGCTAAAACCAGTTATATGTGACTAAGCAGTCACAACTGATGAGGGAATTGGATTAATAAAAGCAAATTTAGGTCTAGTAGCCACAGACACATTTAGCAATGCCCCCCTCTCAAAACTCTACATTAGTTTCAGTGTATTTTTTGTCAACCCTAACAGCCGCCTAACAACTTTTTTCCAAATCTTGTCACTTTTTAAGTAGAGTTTTCACACACTACCAATGAGAAAAAACACACAAAAACCCCAACAAAAACCCCCACATACGTAAGTATGGTTTTCCCCTCCATCTTCTTTAGGTAAAAATGATCCTTCTAGGAGAGAATCTAAGTAATACATACATGTAGGTAAGTACATTACCTTGTGTTTGCCAGTGAAACTGCTCTTCTGCTGAACTGGAAAGAGAAAGAAAAAAAACCAATAACTTTAAATTAAATTGTTCTGTAGTGTACCACGAATATTCAGACACAAATTTATTCTGAAGGAACTGATTTAAGAGAAGAACACACTTATGAATAAAAAACATATTTAGAATACATAATTTTATATATATATATTAATTAATGACTTGTACAGCATTTACTCAGCTGGAGGGAAGCAGCTTTATTTTTTTATCAAGTAATTTGAATCATACATGTAGAAATTGGCCCCTTGGGCTTGATAAACAAACAATACTTTCAAAGCAAAAACATCACCATTCTACTTTTCTGGATCCTTCCATTTGTCTGATACTCCATGTTTATTGAGAAAATTATAAATTGCTTTCTCAAGTGAATAGTTACATGTGATTTCTGAAAGAAATTATGAGTATGATTCCTGGTTCTACTGATCATTATGTGCATTTTTATATTATTCAAATGTGCAGCTAAGTTAATTCAATTGGCCTACAAAGAAGAGTAAATTTAGATGTGTTTGTGCTTCTTTGTGCAAGCACTTAAGCAACAGAAGGTCTTAATTTTAAAATAATGAACATGCATATCAGAGGATTGGTTAGGTAGGGTATTTTTTTTCAATAAAATGAAAGATACATTCAAATGGATGATAAAATGAATTGGATATTAAGTTAGGCAATGACTACACTTTCCTCCAAGGTATGTTCTGTTTATGCTTCAATACAGGTTTTTGTCACATTACAAGAATACGAAAAGGACTGCAGTTACTCAGTATTAAACATTCTTTTGATAACAGTGAACTGATTATTACACTCATGACTCATTAAAGATTTTTCTGGACACTTTTATAAGATTCTTATAGGGGAGAGGAACATTATCTGTTGCATCCATAAGTTAAAAAAAAAACAAAGACTGAAATTATTTTACCTTTTCAAAAAATTATATTTATTTCTTTATTTCTTTGTTTATTTTCAGATGTTGAGACTAAATGCTTTTTTGGATGAGTAAATGGATTTAAATCTCTAATTTTTTCCCTTTTCCCAGAAGATGCTGGATCACTTATGAATATGTCAGAATACATCCTACTATCTATGTTCTGAACAATAGTAATGTAAATGAAATTAAATGCTTCCTTGTGGATGTCTATTTTTATAGTAAAGAATTTGTGTCAATATTTACCATATTTGATAGTGTTTTAAAAAAAAGTCATCTAATTTACATAAAAATAGTTCTAAAAGGACTTTTAATTTCTACCTGGCATCAAATCTTAACCTGGCAAGTTCAAATCTATACACCATCATAAATTTCCTAATATCTATGATCTGCAGTTTATATTGACTTACTCTACTGAGAGGTCATAGATTAAGCCAGCTCTTTGATGAGATAGTGAACTAAAATTCTTGTACTCAAGTCCACTGAAATTAACAATATTGACGATAAATGTTAACAGAGTCCTCGGACAAACAATAATAACTGCAAACTGCAGGGACAGTGACTCTTTTTGAAGCTACACTTTTCTGAATTTTATATTCCTTTTGTCTGATTTTCAGATTTACTAAATAATTGCAGCTTCATCTGACACACTGGGACTTGAGAGCATTCTTCCTTTCTGTAATTAGTACAATTCATAATAATCAATGTACTGCTTTCCACTTTAGAATCCCTCTTCCAGTAGCCAGATTTCTGTGTGAAAGGTATCACCACAACAGCCAGAAAGAAATGCACTATCCTGGGTGGCATTCTTGATGACAGAATGAATTACTAGATGTTGCTGGAAAGAACACAATGATGTAAAAACCTATGCCACTTCATCCAAATAAGTTAAAAAAGAAAATCAAGTCGTGCATAAAGAGTGAACCACTTCCAGGAATTCTAGCTTAGCCCTTTTTAAGTAGCAAAGTTGTACAAAATGTAACAAAGTTCATTCTGTTCAATGAATCACTTGTGGTTGATTCATAGTAATCCCCAGTATCACTTATCTGACTTACACAGAAACACTGTACCGTATCCATATTAATCTCAGGATCACAATGAATTTTCACTACATTTTGACTTTTCCAATTTTAGTCACACTTCTCCTCATCACTACTGTAATGGTCTTTCAATAAATAATGTAGCTCTTAGAGTCATGATAGCAGACCCACCATGAGAATTTTTATCCTAATTCTACCTTCTTATTCAACATGTGGAACATGAACCAGGCTGCACAGGGCAGTGGTGAGTCTCCATTCTTGAAAGTATTTAAGAGATGAGTAGGTATGACATCTGGGGCATGGTTTGGTGGTGGACTTGTCAGTGCTGGTTTAATGCTTGGACTAGATGGTCATAAAGGTCTTTTCCAATCTAAAAGATTCTATAATTCTCTATTAAAGTTGTATTTGCTCCTACAAAGATATCAGTATATTCTGGTATAGAAAGAGTGCTGTTTTCATGATCTTTAGCTTGTTGGATATTGAAGCTACCATTTCTTGGTTGCAAACCAATGCCAGAGTCTCACAAACAAACTTTTAAAGGGTTTCCCTAGAAAATAGTTTTAATATAGATGCTCTTTATTTTTCCTTTTTTCCCCCTTTTTTAAACTGAGCTTCCCCTGCTTTTGGCCTGGAAAGGATTCCTGACTGAAGCAACCTGACCTCTTTGTGCAGGAAGCCTTTAGGTTGTCACACGACTGTGCCAAATCTGCTTGAGTGAATAAAACAGCATGCTTTTTTGTCCTTTTCTTTGAGGTGCTTCCCAGTTTCACAAGAGATCAGTACAATTTACTGTATAGTTAAATCAAATACATGAAAAGACAAAAAACTAATAATTAACAGAAGTATTGTCCTAATAAATTTTTCAGCAAGTTCAGCAAAATGTATTCTTGCTTTATAATATTTTTCTGAAGAAAAATGCATTAGCAACCACTTTTCTGCATATTCCTATGCCTCATTATATAAGTCTGCTAATATTAGTATCTTTGACTGAGGAAGGTGTGCAATAAAATTCTTTATCAAGTTGTTCTGAACTATAATAACCTGAGCCCACCTTAAGAGTTTGCGGAAGGGATTTTAAACAGAACTACATTAGTACAACATTAGAAAGTTGTAGCATAAAATATGACTGAGCTGAGAACTCAGCAGATAGGATTACTACCTCCCTTAACCCAAACTCAGAAGAATAATTGTGATTTATTTATTCTTCTTTTATTTTTGGTAGTCATTGCATCTGTATATACTTCAAATGTTCTAGTTACAAATAAGACTACTGTTCTACTTAATTCTACCTGACTTACAGAAAGAATCCTCCATCACTATTCAACTATGCAAAACTTTATTCTTCTATGGTCATATTGTCTTTGGAAAATTCAATGTATTGAAGGAAGATTGCAAGGAATCTGAATAACTTAATGAGAAGATAATGCTAAAACCCAAATGAATGAATAAAACACTTGACTAAACAAAAGAAGAATACTGTTATATGTTTAGTTTTTGATGTTAATGTTTAAGCTAATGAACCTATATTCTGTAAGGATGCACTACATTGTGCTTAAAGCTTTACCTTTAATAACTAGGAAAGAAGATATTTCAGTAAAAAATGTTTTACCTCCCTACGCAAGAATAAGCAAAGTAAATATCTATAGAAAGGTCATCTTGATTCCAGCTGAACTCACATGTTCCCATTTCTGCATAAATGTCACAAAAGCACCAAAGGAGTGAGAACCCTCTGTGTGTGACTATGGGGAGGGCGAAAGGCAAATGTGCACAGCATGCTGCAGGGAGCTCATTTTGGGGAGCATCACTTGGGGACCTCTACCTATCTCTGAACAGCAAGGAAATAGCTAAAGCACAAAGCATTGCAAAAATGCAGATTTTCTACAACCAGCTGAGGATGTCTGACTACTACCAGCAGCTCTGTATATCAAGTTTATCCCTTTTCAGGCAGAAGTAGAAACATCACAGACTGACCTACAGTTTGCCTATAAACAAGCAACATACCAGGCCTTAGGGAGCCTTCATTTTTTCCTGTACCTCAAGTCAAGTTAAACAAGAAGTGGGTGCCCCTTCCTGATGGACTTGATAGGAATCCACCATGATAAGATGGACTCTGTAGACAGCCAGCACCTGCATAACAAGGTGAATTACAGAAGACCATGAAATGCCTCTCCCAGCAATTTATGGGAGTCCAAAGCAGTTCTGGTGGTATAGAAGTGAATGCTTGGACAACATTCACCAGCCATATTTCTATAAAAGCAACCAAAGTCCTCAAGGGAGATAACCCATAGGTGGGGAATGCTACTGAGTACTTTGGCAGAAGAAAAGCTGCCTAAGACATCCTCAGACTGTGTTGCTATTAGGGCCTGTACAAACACCCAAAGATTCACTTCCAAAGCAGGTGCTGGTAAGCAGCAAGGGCACCTTGGACTCAGCTGAACTCCTAAAAGGTGGACGTGTGCCTGTGGCACTGGCAGCAGGGACAATGGTAGGCAAAGGTAAGTTACACCAAACCCCAGCCCAAGACACATTTTGCACACTACCTGGACGCAGCAATACTTGCAGCATCACTTGGGTTTAGTTTTAGACATTACATGGCCTAATGTGAGACCTGGCCCACTTCAGAGGAATGCCTTGATAGGTTCAGAACCACTCAGTGCAAGAAGGAGCTTCACTGCCCTGTAAACACTTCCCCCCAATAGTATTTATTATGCAGCCTGCAGAAATTAATTGTTTTTATCCCATGCACCAAGATACATCTGTGCACATGCACAGCAGGCCAAAGCATTTGGTTATTCATTGCCTTGCTGCTCTCCATAGCAATGAAACTCACTTCTTGCTGGGAAGGAAGGTAGGTTTTCTTTCATTCACTGTTTCTGGCACACTCCTTGCTTTACCACTGAGCCTGCATACAGGCTGCCAGGGCAAATTCACACTTTTGTATTCCCCTAATTATCCAAGAAATGTTTGTGTGTCTCTCCTTTGTGTGAAGTCATTCAGTTTACAGTCATCACTCACTTTTTTGAGAAAGTG